CAACTATGGTACACTTACTAATATTGGTTGCACGTTAAATCTATATCTCATCAATCACCTTAAAGTCTACTTTTCATTAGTCCACAACTTCATATTTTACAAAGTGTATCTTCACATTTAACAAGGTATACTTACTAACATGTTCAATCAATTATGTCTTGTAATATATGGTGCAGCTAGGGGTGTCAATTGGACTGGATTTGATCCAATCCGATCCAGTCCAATGTGAGTCCATTATAAAGGGACTAGGTCCAATCCAATCCAATCCAATGAATATTTTGGACTGGTCCAATTCAATGTCTGGACCATCCAATCTATTCAAATTCATTTTGATTTAGATTGGTTTCAACCCAAACCTAGTCCATTGGCACCTATATTCTTATCTTATATCAATGGACTAGAAATTGGCTTAATCCAACCCAATCCAATATAAATTTATTATGGATGGACCAGGTCCAATCCAATCTAATAAATATTTTTTACTAGGTTGGTCCAATCCAATGGCAAGACATATATCACTCTAGAAGAAATTTGCCTAAAATTATTGACATACATGCATAGATAACGTCCAGTCCGTCCAAATTAATTTTAGACTGGAAAGGGTCTAATCCAAAATCGGTCCATTGACACCCTTAGGTGCAGCAGATACACCTTAGATTTTATAATTATTTTAAGCTCTAGAAAATGACATTGCATTTATACCACTAAGAAACTGGAATTTTCAAGCTGAAGTCATATTCAAGTATTCATTTGTATGATGTTATGATGGCTCATGGGTTATTCTTCTTGTTTTCTTAATGTGAAAAACCGATCTGAATTTAAATTCAGGGGTTGTGCATTTATAACAACAACCAACTGAATTGACAAATAACAAATGGTTAAGTGATGATTTGTTAGACAGTCTGGACAAGGGAGACTGCTGAAGTAACTCTGGTCTCACAAAGGATGTGGTTGTGAGTGAATGACATTTGAGGTGCAGCGTGTATGGATGTAATAGAAGGGTCACATCGGCATGTATTTTCCATGAGAATTAAGGCCTATGGACTTAGTTATGATGGGTTTATTGAGATTGTTCAGCCACCCAATAGAAAACTGAACCAGTTAATTCATGGATCCTTTGTGTGATTCAGTATGAATGGTTGGTTACCTGCTAATATAAATGACAATTAAGATGATAAGATCTTGTGCTACTAAATCCCCAAGGAGCAGTTGGATTAATTAGGGCTGCAATTTGGGCTGGGCTGGTAAGCCCAAACCTAATCCTAGTTTATCCTAAAATGTTGGGTTGAAATTCAGGTCAGGATTAGGATTAAAAAGTATGAATTTTGAATTGGGTTGTGATTGAGGCCTTGACCAATCAGACTCAATCCAAATCTGACTTATATATGAATATTATACAAACATGTTAGTATGCATATATTTATGCATTGTATATATGCAACTATGTATCCATAAATGTCTGTCTGTATTTATTTATCTATGCATGTATGTCAATAATTTTAGGTAAATTTCTTCTAGAGCGATATGTGTCTTGCCTTAGTTTTGAACCTTTTGGTGCAGGTCATAAAAGTTAAATGTGATTATATAATATCTTTATTTATTTTTTATTTAGGCTGTATTTGGAAACGATGCAAATATGTAGAGTGTAAAACAGTTCATATAAATTGTAAAATCGGATTAGTTTTACACTGACAAATTTACTTTCTTACCAAACATGCTTTTAGCAATAACTGATGTAAACACAAATTCCAATAAAGTATATGCCTTTTCTTATCAAAAGCCCATTTACTCTTTTTTTATTGATGTACTTTTACATCTTATTATTAATGTAAATATGCATTGAAAAATGTATTTTTTAACATTTGTCAATACATAAATGTAATGTTGCCAAATAAATGCAAAAGTAAACAAGAGTGTAAATTTACCCTGAATCGAGATTTACACTCCATTTGCATTGTTTCCAAACACAGCCTTAATTGCACACATGCATAGCAAAATCTAAATTGAGCTCAACCGCATTAACCTTTTAAATCTAGAAAATAAGAACATTTTCAAAAAGAAGTTGAAAGGTTGGGCGAACCTAAACCCAACCCAACCTGAAATAGAGTTTGGAGTTCACAGCTTGTATAGGGATTTTATTAGTGTTGACCGCAACCCGACTTAACTTGGCCCCGGTCAAGGGGTGCAAGTGGGTTCAAGAACTAGATGAAATTATAGAATTAATTTCAAGGTTTGTAACAACAATCCAAAGGAACTAGAAAGAAATCTGAAAGGTAGTAGCAGAAATAAAGTAGCACAAATTCTTATGTTGATTTTTCTTCTACACATTTGGGTAAAATTCATTTCTTCTGAACTGTGTTTGGATTGACCGGTGCAAGAGGAAAAAGCAGGATGGAAAGGTGAATCTGGGGTTCTCCGGTGTCTGGTACTTAATCGAGGAAGGTATAACCCTTTTGTCCACCATTGCACAATGCTGCCTTTTTTTGTTTTTTGGTTCAAGAGCTCCTTTCGACATGCCCTCTTCTGTTTTTTCAGTCATACCCAGTAAACCTGCCATGAAGTATCAAACCCACCAATTGTTTTGTGATTAAGTAAAGAAACAACCAAGTTGTTTGCTGGTCTGAATCCTGAAGCTCAATTCCAACTCCCAAAAACCCAATTAGAAGAGCCAAGAGCTAGCGACCAGACCTCCTTCAGAACAATTAGAGCAACTGTGTATAGCTACAGGAAGCAATTAGAGTTGTTTCTTGTTTGATTGGAATATCTGTGAAGCAACAATCGGGTGTCAGACCCAGATGGGGCTTTCTTGCATGTGAGCAGCTGACATGACAGCCCAAAAGGGTTCCATGAATTTTACCCACTCACCTCAACCACCCATGTGGTAGGTTACTGGGTTTCCGCCTTTTTCTTTATTTGGAACAGATCGAAAATAAAATGGTTGCCGTTCAGAAGCCCAGAACATGGTCTGTTCAGGGGCTGAGGTGGACAAGAACATGTACACTTGGCCAATCAGATGCTGACATTTGATGGGCATTCGGATTGGCCACATCAGCTCTTCACATGGTTAGGCAGAGAATGGTTGGGCTAGCGTCATTCAGCAGGAGATGGGATCGGCTGCCCACATAATGCGCCCTTTACAAGCTCAGGAGATGTTCTCAATGCACGGAGGGGATGGATTGGGGCACTCTTTGTGAGCAGCCGATTCAATCACATTTAATGAGATGGGATCAGTTGTCCACATAGTATGTATTTGGTTCTATGAACATTTATGGATAAATCATTTATTTGTACTTTTTCACTTTAAATGCTTAATTATATTTTTTCATTTTAAATGTTTCCTAATTTTATTGTTTGGTTACTTTAAGTGATTTTACTCTCCACTTCAGATTAATACCAATTAAAGTGTGTCACGTCAATATTTGGTTTCAAAAAACACTAAGGTATTAGGGAAACAAGAATTTCACATTTTCCCAAATGCCCCATGCACAAAAATCAAATTGTTTCAGTTTTCTATCATTTATTTGATAAAGGGTGAAACTAAACAATTGTTTCATTTTACTTTATCTGCAATAAACACCAATGCCTATATAACGTTGATGTGACAGTATTTTTTCAATAAACGCTCACAAAACCAAATTGTTACTATTGAAAAGTCCAAAACATGGTTTATTCAGGGAATTTGGCTTCCATCAGGGCAATACCCGTTCAAGCAGCCTATACAGCCTTGACCGAAGCCGTTCTCCTGCTCAGGGAGTTCAGATCTGCGCCCCACAATGGGGTGCCCCACAACGTCCCACAGTGCATCTCTGCCTTGTATTGGGAACATGTCCCGATGATGACATCATCATCTCCCAATACATGGCGGAGATGCACTGTGGGACATTGTGGGGCGCCCCGTCGTGGGGCACAGATCTGAACATATGTACAGATTGAAAATAAAATGATCACACCATTGGGAAGTCCAGAACATGGTCTGTTCAGGGGCCGAGGTGGACAAGAACATGAACACTTGGCCAACCTGATGCTGACATTTGACGGGCAATTCGGATCAGCCACATCAGCCCTTTACGTGGTTAGGCAGAGACTGGTTGGGCTAGCGTCATTCAGCAGCACATGTACACAGTGAAGGTGCTTCAAATCTCAGTCACCCAGTTCTATTCGGTGCTCTAGGTTTTCTCGTTACTTTGGCCCCCAATTTGGGGGACTAAGTTCAATGCATCTGGTTTACAGTTTTAGCCTTTCTTACAATATCAGAAACAGATAGGTCATTAAATTGGGGACAAGATGATAAGGTCAATATGCTCTATTTTATTTTATTTTACTTATTTATTTATCTTTTGGTGAAGAATATGCTCTAAGATTTCGGTTAATAGATATCTTGACCTGCCAATTTCGTTTTGGGTGGATTGCTGATGCTGACTTGAGTGCCCATTTGTTGAAAATTCTATTTCTAAAAGCAACTTTTGCAGTGGTTTGTGTTGTGTTGAATGGACTGGTATTCTAAATATTCCTTTCTCATCCAGTTGTAGAATCAATTGTTTGCTGATTGATTTGATTCAACGTTAACTTTTGCTTGGATAGCAGACAAAGTAGTTTCCTACAGTGGTTTTCTTTGGTATAAAAGAGATAGTTGACTTGACACTTGACCTTAAAAAGGTTGAGGAAAGTAGGATGAAGCTGGGCTTTTGAAGGGAGGCAATGGAATTGCACACCCAATTCAACAATAGTAATCAAGCATCTGACATCAAGCACGTTTGCAAGCAACTGGGTTTTGTTTACAGTTTTTTTTTTTCTATTATCTTAGAGTTTATAGTTTGTGATCAACTCATATTGATGTCTAAGATTTTAGGGAATGGAGAGTCATATCCTTCTTTCCCATATACACGTCTGTGTGTCCATATCAGTATTTGGGTATCATAGCTAGAAAGTAGAAACTACCTAGGCAGTTCAAAAGGATGAAACAAGAAATGTTCACAGTTGATAACATAAGAAGCATCATATTCATGAAAGAAAACCAACGGTCATGCAAGTATGCTTTTATTATCCTTCAAATCTTCAGATATCACATATTGAGCAGTGGTTAACTTGTACTCATGTTTACAGAGAATTTCAAGTACATTGAGCTCTTGATCTTTCTGATGAAGAATGATCAAACAGAGCTGACATAAAGGTTCCTAAAACCAGCCCAAACAAATGGGGACTGAGATAAAACTACAACAAAGGCAAGGAGGAGGGAACACCTTCTCAACAACCTCTCATCCAAGACCCACTTCTAAGCAATGAAAAAAAAAGCATAGAAAGGGCAAAAGACAAACAACCAAACCGGCAAGACTATACAGAAAGAATTGAACAAGCAAAAGATGGCTTCTATCTTTACTTGCTGAAACTGTAAGTTAATCGAAACTTGATGAGCGGCTCCATCTTCCCTGCAAGTAGTCCTCCAATGAGACACTTTGCTCAATGCTGCTCACAGAGAGTGAATCATCCTCCACATCAAGCAATGCAACGTTAAGATGAGACTGGATGTTAGGAGGTGGAATTGCTTCATCATCCAGAGCATCAAACTCCCCTGAAGCATTCACCTGCATCCTTGCCCACTTGGTTACCTCTGCATCACCTTGAAGGAGCTTTAATACCTGTGAGCCAATAAAGAGAAAATATAATTTTAATGATGAGAGAAAATTAACTCCAATGCTTCATTTATCACATCATAGAAGAGGAAGAAAATTTTCGACTCCAATTATATATACAGTTAGGTCCATTTTACAGCAAAAGGTTTGTTTTTAACCCCCTTAATATTGAAACAGTCTAAGGGGAGAGAGAGAGAGAGAGAGAGAGAGAGAGATGGCTTACGAGGCTCATTCGAGGACGAGACCTAGGTGAACGTCTGATGCAGAGAGTAGCAGCTAAAACCATCCACTCCATCTGATCATGGTTATAACTACCAATCAAGCATGGATCTAATAATTGGATGGTCTTTCCACCATTAAGAATTGGCTTTGCCTGGATATAATCACCCATTTCCCATTATCAGTTGATATGAAGAGGAAAATTCTGAGCCAAGGAACACCATGAGGATTACAGGGGAGGACCTACCCACAAAACTAGGCTCTCTTGGCCCTTTGGACAGTCATTGCTGATGGGCTTCCTTCCAGAAAGTAGTTCTAGGAGTACGACACCAAACGCATATACATCGACTTTGTCATTTACATTGCCATACATGAAGTATTCAGGAGCCAAATATCTGCCACAAAAGAATTTGACAACTTAATCTCAACTCAGTAAAACCCAAAAAGTAATCAGAGCAAGAAAAGATGCATACCCAAAAGTTCCTGCAACATCATTGCAAGTTATATGGGATGACAAGGATGAAGCCCACTTAGCAAGTCCAAAATCTGAGATCTGATGAAGAAAAACCCAAGGGAAACATGAAAAATTAATGCCATATACAAATAAAGTTACTCCAGATAATTGATGAACAGATCTTAAAAGAAAATCACCTGTGGCTCAAAATCATCAGAAAGAAGAATATTAGATGATTTTACATCCCTATGAATCACGGGTTGATCACTTAGATTGTGCAGATATTCCAATGCCTCAGCCACACCCAGGGCCACCTTATATCTCTCTTTCCAACCAAATGCTGAATTGTCCTTCTTATTACCTGATAGAAACCAGGGAGAAGACAGTAGATCAGAGAAGAAGAACATAACAGGAGCTGGCAATTTAATGGTAAGCCAAACAAAGAGGTTATGTACCATGAAGGTTCTCCTCTAGGCTTCCTCTCGGTAGGAAATCATAAACCAAGAGAAGATTGTTGTCCTCAAAACAGAACCCAAAGAGAGAGATGATGTTCTTATGATGTAAAGCAGTAATGATCTCAATTTCCAAAACAAATTCCTTCAACGCATCATCAGATGGCTTCAATATTTTCACTGCAAGTTCCTTGCCATCGGGAAGATGCCCTCTGTAAACACGGCTACTACCTCCTTTTCCAATCAAATTTTCTGGAATTAGAGAGAAGACCATTAGAGAGAAACGCCATTGAACATAATAGGAATAAAAGAGAATTTATAAATATAAACACAAAACTGGTAAGTAAAATAAACCTGGCTTGAAGTTAGAAGTAGCAGAGAGGAGATCCTGGTAGCCAAACAATCTGCAAGTTGCTGAGTATTTCTCATGAAGCCCTTCCAACTCTTTGGGAAGTTTCTTCAGTCCATAGCGGGGGGAAGATGGAGGTACACTAGCATCAGTTCCTACTGGAACAATCGCACCACTTTCTCCATTCAGACTGGATAAACGATCTTCAGATTGATCGCGAGTAGTGTGTTTGCTGTCAGGATGCACAACTGCCGAAAGATTCCTATTGGGTAGTCGCATTGCCCATTGGACTACAGAGATCTGCCTTACTGATGATTTCCCAAAAGTTTTAGCTTTCTCATTACGTAAAATGGCACGGTGAAGCAGTGGCCAACCGGGCTTTAGCTCAGGTAATTCCCGCAGGGAAATTGAACTTGATGATGTAACCTGTGAAGTCTTTACTGGTACCAACGCCAAAGATTTATCTTCAGCATTGCCACCATTAGATTCCTCTGAAATTGTGGAACCATGGGTATCCCTTGAAACAGGGTCTGGTGTACAAATTGAACAATTCCGTTTCATGGAAACTGGGTCAAAATCCCTGGCTTTCAGGGCATCTGCCTCAGAATTTCGCCGACCTTCCTCGCTAATTTTCCCTTCCACTACAGCAGAGGAGACTTCATTTAGTACTTTGGAGCTCTTGCTGAACGACCGGTGAATTGAACTAATAAGTTTTTTCGTTGGACGATCATTCACTCCTGTAACAAAAGAAGAAATTAAGTAAGAATTTCATTAAAAATCAAGTCCAGAATGAATGTTACAGAAACACTTTCTCTGCAAAAAAAAAAAAAAAGAACCCATAGAAAAGAAATAAATACCAACCTCGTGAGTCACCGATGGACTCTGAACTTGATTCCCTTTCAAACACGACTTTGCCATTATTAACGGCAAGCACCAAACAGTCCTTCGAGAGCTTCTTCGCACAGTACTTCGCAACCGAAACCGGTGACCCAATTGCATGGTGGTGCGTAGCAGTCCCGACAATGACCTTAGTAGCAAGGTAAGATTTCGCTTCCCGCACCAGGACCCGGCGGATCGAGGACCCTCTACAGATCTTAAGCTTAAGATCCACCTTCAACATTTCCACCAAATTAGTCTCTTTTTGCAACGAAATTAAAAAACAAACTAAAGAGATCAAATGAACTAATAAATTAAACCTGTTTCAGGTTGCAGAATCCTTCATAAACTGCGAGCACTGAATCAAACGCCTTAACAAGCGAGAGAAGCGATGATTTACCATCTTTGTCAAGAATTTCTAACCAAAAAGACAAAACCCACAAACCAAAATCAACACTTAACAATCAGTAAACGAAAACAAAAACCAAAAACAATTAATTTCGCAACTGCCTCACCAGTATTGCTGAGAACATGCAGAGCAATCACTCTGTCTCCAGGCTGAGCCACTTTGACGAGAGCCCATGTCAGTAACTCTCTGCTTTGCTGATCCAACTTCATTCCCACCACAACCGTCGGGCAATCCCCACCATCGCCACCGCCGGTTACCCCTCCGGTGAGAAGTGTTCTCATCATTGTCATCTTGCTTCTTCAACTCCGTCAATCAGATCCCAACGATTTTCTCTTTCTCGCCGTTGCTCTTCGGTCCCTCCATTCGTCCATGCATTTTGCCTGAAAATAACTGATTTATACATCATTGCCCAACATGGCTTTTAACTGCCATTGCTTAGCTTTGATTTGCTTTTCTCGACAGCAAACCAAAAGTGAGAGAGAAAGGAAGAAAGCAGTATACGGTAAGCCAGACCCATTATATTATCATACAACATCTCTTCATATCAATCTCAACCGTTCATTTGGGAAAGGCCAGTGGGCCCACTGTAGTAAATAAATTTGGATTATTTTATATTATTATTAAATCATGATGAAGAGATGATACTTATGGTATGATTACTATGGCCCAAGCCCATCTGGTCTTGATAGAATAGGCATGGGTACAGCGTTGTTGGGCCCACAATTTGGATTTTGCTTGATGGGTTGAACCAAGCACCACACCAGTTTACTCTAAGATGGAATGAATGCAAGTGCCCAGTTGATGTGGATGGTTGTGGGCCCTGACCAATTGAAAGGGGAAAAGAATCAACACACGGCAACATGGGTATCCCATTGTTGACACGGATGGTGGTGGGCCCATTATGTGTCCCCTTAGGTGACGTAGATGGTGATAAGGCCATTGATGCCTTAAAAATGTAGGATCAAATCTACAGTTGTAGCACCCAAGGATAATGCTTTGCTTGCCTTTTGAGACCTGGCTGACTTTATTGTGCCCTAAGATAAGGGTATCCTGGTACTTTTATGCTCCACCAAGTAAGCACTGCAATAGAAAATAAAACGGGAGGGTTAAAAGATGATAATCCAAGGTTAAAAGGTGATACTTTGTATGACAAAAATGCCCTCAAAATAAATTCCAATTAGATATTTCTTTTGGGTTCTGATTCTGTGAGGGTTCCCTCACGTTAAGGAAGACTTCTTGCCCTCTGATCAGAATCTACTTGATACACATACCCAACTCTAATTTTACTGTAAACCCTAAAAAAACCCTAAACATAACCATATGTTGTTAATTGGGTCCACAACTTTGAGGGGTGGAGTTTCAACTCCATCAATATATTAAAAAAAAAAGATTCCAATCCATGAACCATATTCAATTCCTCCATCTATCAGACAAAAGAAAAAAAAAACTCATTTAGATCTTTCATGGGGCCCACAGATTATGTTTGTAACCATCTATTTAAAATCTTAAACCATATCAGTGATCCCCATGTTCTTGGGTTCTGATTCAATGAAGGTCCCCTCGCATTAGGGAAGACTCTTTGCCCTCTGATCGGAATCTACTTGATATGGGATGGGGGGGGGTTCAACTACTCCAATCCAAGAGAACCAAATTGACCACTTATTTAGATCATTCATGGGGCCCAACAGACTGTGATCTATAACGGGGAATGGAGTGTGATGTTTGTAAACATCCATTTAAACCATATTAATGGTTAGTTCCGTGAGAGTATCAGAAGTGGGGCCAGGGTTACCAGTGGGACCAAGGCATGGACCATCCTCTCACTCTCTCTCTCTCTGTATTATGATATTCCGAGCTTTGGCATGAACCATTTGTACACGGACCCGTTTGCGTGCTTTTGGGAGGGCATGAAGCAGGTGGTTCGTGGCAAGGTGTCTACTGCTTTTGTGAATTTATTTATTGGAGTTAGCAACTGGTTCATACGTTTTTATTCAATTGCCTTTCCTAATGAAACAAGGCTCTGGTTGGTAATATCTTCATGCATGAAGTGAAGCTGATTGTTTTGATTGATGGGGACCTTGATGAGATCATAATGGTAAAAAAAAAAGTTTGGTTGTAGAGAAAAGAAGTCTAGGGGTGTGTCAAATGGGTCGGGTTAAGTGGTAAAATATTCCGATCCTATTTGGGTCGGGTCAAGATTAATTGGGTTTTGGATAGGGGTGGATTCGAACCGAGCCAAGCCGAATAGTATCAGGTTCGAGCTCATTCGAGACTATTCTACAAGGCTCAAGCTTGGTTCAAGCCAAAACCTTGAGCTCGAGCTCGGCTTGAGTCAAAAGTTCATAAGCTCGAATTTGGTTCAGTTCGGCTCGTTTTATATTTTATAAAAATATTTTATTATATATTTTGTAAATATTTTATTATAAAAATATTTAGAAAAAAAAATTATTTTATGAGCTTGAGCAGCTCGTGAAAAGCTCGGCTCGTTGTCACCCCTACTTTTGGGTTGGGGTTCAGATGATCCCGTGTTAAGTCTGATTCATTAATATTGCAACATTGAAATATTTGTATATATAAATTTGATTGACTATATGTTCTCATTGTGTATTGAGAACATCTCTCCCTAATAGGGGTGCAACTTGGATGAGCCCAATCCGAGCCTGAACTTGCCCAGCCCAAAATTGTACATGGGTTGGGCTTGGATTTTCAATCCTCGGGCTAGGCTCGGGCCCAAGAAATTGGGCTTTTCTACTTTTTGGGCCGAGTCCGGGCCTAGCCCTTAGGTAACCCAAACCTGGCACGAGTTATATATATATATGTGTGTGTATATGTGTATGTATATATGTATATATGTATAATTTTAGAGTGGGTTCTTTGACTAAGCCAAGCCAGCCCGGGCCTGAGCCTAAACCGAATTCATCAAATTATAATGCAGGCTGGACTTGGATTGGAAAAATTAGGTTTGGTCCGGGTTCCGGCCTTAAGCCCAAATTTTAAAACCGGGCCTAAGTTGACCATAAACCCAGCCGAACCCGCCGACTTACACCCCTACTCCCTAAGTGTCTTAAGAGATTTCGGAAGAATGAGGGTAGGAGATCCGAATTCTATGGGATGAGATGGATTTCGGTTGAGACAAATCTGTGCTGGACCCGATCCGTTTACATTCCCTAAACTCTTATCTCAAAAATTAAGCTACTTATCCACTACATCAAGGAACTATTTTGGTTCTGGGGCCCAAATAAGTTGCCGCATGTTGGATATCAAATAAGCAGGACCCACCAATTGATGGGCCCATCTGTCTAAGAAAGAGCATGCACAAGGCCATCGGGCTTGGGAATTATTTTCTAATATTTTTCAGTTACTTTTCTAGAACTCTACTTCACTGTTTCAACCTTTGTGAGAGAGGAGAGGAGTAGGTAGAATGAGGGAAGTAGACTGGAGTAAAATTTTGGTATGATTGTCTTGACGTGAAACCATAGTAAGTATTGGCAGTATAAAGTAAAGACAAGGCAGGAACAGTGAAATTGAGTCTTGAGTCTTGACTAAGTAATAAAATCCCCCGTCGCAAAAGTGGGTGGTTTGTTAAGAAGGCCCTTCACCATTTAAAACCTGTTTCAGCTTGTGCAATGTGGTTCATGTGAATACGGTGGAAAGAAAGCATTTAATTGTAGGGAAATTGCCGTTAATGCTTCTTAATAGAGGTGTTTAGATCAGTATAAATAACAATTTTCATGATCAAATTACCCTTGGGTGGCGAATTAAGAGAAAATGGTATTTTTCAGTTTTCAATTTTTATGTTTTTTTGCATTTTTAGTGTTTTGTTATAATTTTCAATGTTTTTATAATTTCTGTTTTTTTTTTATATTTTTCTATTTTCTACAATTTATAAATCTTCATGTATTTTTTGTTATTTATTTGCAATTTCTGTGTTTTTCTATAATTTTTTGTGTTTTTTCTACATTTTTTATTTTCTGATTTTGTTTTTCAATTTCTATAGTTTCTATAATTTGAAAAAATTCTTTATTTTGTTTGAAATTTCTATAATTTTTTACATTTTTTGAAATTTCTGTGTTTTTATGTATTTTATATTTTAAAATATTTTTTTGAACTTTTTTTCTGTTTTTCATGTCTAATTATTAAAATATATGTATATATTTTATATTTTTCTATGAAGGTTAAAATGGTAATATATTAACACCCATTAGTTTGTTTAACGTCAAGTTAGTGGCATGGTGAGTTTTAGACATTTTGAAAAGTTGTAATGAGTTTAAGAGAAATGTTGAAAATTCAGGGTGAGTTTTAGACAATTTCCCTTAGTTGAATATTAGGAATATTTTCTGTACTTGTATGTTAAATAGATGGAAATATATATGTACCTGGTGTGTGGTTAGATGTCATGCTCATCCATGATGGGTGTCCTATTATGCATGTCATCTTTATACATATGTAATAGAACAGTTGGCACAGGCTAAATGCTAAGTGCATATAAGCTCAACCCAAATAAGTGCAGCAGATCGGAATTCATCTTCTTATAGCATGGACAGTGAGCCTCACTTGCACCCTACTCTATCTCATCTCAATTCGTCTCTCTATGGTATAACTAGTGCCTAGTGGGCCTCATATGCACCCTGCTCTATCTCATGCTTGAGTCTCTAATAAAATCTACYTACCATTTAGGAGTCTGGATCTTCTGTCCACACAAACTCTGCCCACGTTTACCCACATATCATCGCAGCCACACATGGAGAACATCTCATCCTTCTACATAGCATTATGCAAAGGGAGATGTTCCCAATTCATGGGGGTAGTGTCATGTGGGTAGACGTGGGCAGGTGATCCGGAGTCACCAATTGGTCTGACCCAACAATTGTGATACCAAAAGATCTTGTACAATGTGGTGAATTGCTATTTGAAATTTGGATTAGTAGGGGTGTTCACCAATTTCAAAAAATCTCGTATAATGTGAAATTTGAAAATAAAATCATTCACATTGACGAACACTCCTTTAGATTTGTATTCTAGAAAAACAAAACAGGGTTCTAAAAACCATCATCATCATCCAACCCTTATCACAACTAAATGGGGTCAATTACATGAATCATATTTCTTGATTTCTGTTCAATATCGTATCTATTATCAAATTATGAGTGCTTAAATCATTTCTTATTATCTTCATTCAAGTCTCTTTTGTCTGCTTGACTCTTCGTAGTCCCTTCAACTTATAATATATCACTTCTTACAAAAAAAAAAGTAATTCTAAATATCTACAAACATATTCTCCGTCTAAGTCATGCTTGATAAGTTCTAAGTTCTAACCCCACCGACGATGACGCCTGAACCCATGAAAAAAACAAGCAATATTGACAAAATAGGTTAGTCGAAAGAGAACAAAGCAACAAAACCGCTTTGTCTTTCTTTCTTTTGAGACTTAGAG